ATTAAATCTGTAGCTCAAACACATCCACACAATTTGGACATGCACTTCAGTAAATCCTTACGTTCGAACCTCTACTCCCTAAAGCTGTTTTTATGAATTATCCAGGACTCCAGCAAATGAAATGTTGTACTTTTCTTTTAAGTAGCCGTGAATCTTCCTAGCCTGCTTTAAAGCATGTATAGGAAAAGCCAGGAAATCAGATACTAAATCAACTCCACCTAACACCACGTCTCTGACAGTATCTCATGAGCCAGAAGACTGTGCAAGAACATGTCGAGTTTCTTTCTGGTTGCTAATCAGACATAAGCTTTGGATTTTGGGATTAATCCTAACAATCAATTTTTTAAATGGTATTAATTTATACAGATATTTAGAAAAATCTGTGCTCATTATCATCTGTCCAATTCCTTTTTTAATCTTGTTTAATTCTCAGTCTCAACAACTTCCTGTAGCAGATGAGCTTCATAGTCTAATTACATGATGCATGGAAAATGATATCCTTTTAATTGCTCCAGATTTCCTAACTTTTGGTCTCATTCATCCTCCTCCCACCCCTCGCCTCTCCTCCCCAATTCTTCCATCACAAGGACAGACAGGACTGAAGCTGTAGCTCTGCTGTTTCCAAATCATTCATACTTTACTGTTATGCCTGCTCATTCACTTCCAAAGGTAAAATAGCTCAGCCTTTTCACAAGCAAGTTTTTCCATGCCCTTATGCATTTGGGTCACCTCTTGCTAAAGAGCTCAAATAGCTTGAGATGGTATCTCAAAGCAAAAAAAAGGTCATAAAAATAACCAGTGGGGTTGCACCCCTGATTTATATAAAAATACTGTAAGTTGTTGCTGTTTTTTTTTTAATCAACTAACCCAACCAGGCTAAAAAGCAGCTCATTGAAACACCTAAGGCACATTCACCAAAGGTCTTGAGAAGCCTGTACAGAAGTTCAAGTTGTTGCAGTTAATTCAGAATTTTCTAAGGTAATGATGATCCTTTGAGGTCCCTACCAATCCTTAACACTCTGTAAGCATACACATAAAGGTAACAGTCTCCTATTCTATTATGTACGGTACATGCAAAGCAATATGATTTAACCACGTTGCTCATTCATTCGCAGAACAAAACCGACCACTTTCAAACTGCAAAAAGAATTCATTTTCTGCCAAGAGTCTAGTCTTACAAAGTGCTTCTCAGGATCAAGACTTACGATTTATGTGGCAGTTAAATGCCACTAAGAAAAGTTTCACATATCCAAGTAATGAAAGCAGACCATTTACTTGTGGAAGACAAGCTACATTTCACACGATAACACAGCTGTCGCTATCAGTGATGAGGGTTAAAAACTACTATTGCTGTGAGATTCAAAACCCTATTTGAAAAGAGAGGTGAAATACTGCCATCTTGTATGGGAAGGGTTAAAAAAAAAAAGTCCAATCCTAACGGAACTCCTTTACAGTTTCAAGAGGGAGAGAAGACTGGAAAAAAAGATAAAATGTAAGCTTGAATGTCGTAAAGATCTCTTAGGCTCTTTTGTGACTCCACTATCCTACGGGAAAAGAAACGGTCGGTCATTCAGCACGGTCCAGCTAATAGGTTTTCCTTGCAAAAATGATTCCAACTACTCTGCCATAATTTTCTACTGCAGCTTCCACAGAGACAGGAAACTGCAAAGTACAGGCTTCATGCTGAGCCAGACATCCAAATGCCTCCTACCCTGCTACTCCCACACAGCCTACTGCTTAGGCCTGCGAGCCCCTCCTCTCTAGGTTTAAGTCCGTGAGGGGCAACACCACAAATGGCAGGTGGCCAACATCATCATAAAGGTCTGAAAACCTCTTCTGAGTTATACTACCGGTGTGCCTGCAACCATAACATGATTTATTTATTCAAAATAAATGCTAAAGCTAATCAGATAGCAGAACGTTTCAGTCACCATTTCAGTAGTTTGTGATAGATTGTAATCCAGAAGGGAAGCACCAAGGAAGAGCCGCAGTCTTGCTTTTGAAATTACGTAGAGAAAACACCATGGCCTGAAGAAGCATCATTACAGGCTTGCCTTGTTCTCACCTTCTACTCTGAGGAGACTAATGGGGTAAGCAGACTCTAGGTCCAACTCAGTAACACCCCCTTGGCATTGATGTAAACCCCTGGGGTAAATCAGGCTCTGGGAACCGGCTTTGGCATTTGCACTCTGAACACTGCAGCCCTTGGTCCCACAGTAACACCAGATGACCTCACTCCACTGAGGTGACCACCTCAATTCTGAAGCACTTAGGAGGCAATTCGAGGCAGAGCAGTCCACAACTGCAGCCACTCATCTTTTTTTACAGGTGATCACAGAGGACCACGGCACACGCAGACACGTCCTGTGAAGCAGCTGGCAGATACACTGACTTGCTTGTTGGCCACAGCACCGAAAATGAGCTTTTATTTGGAGAGAGAACCCAGGTACTTGGGTTGGGCTGGAGATGGTTGAGGAAGTAGAAAAAAGCCTATGTATCTACAGGCAATTTAATTGAGAAAGCCAGGCTTGCTGGCATGAAAGGAAAATTAATGTATGAAGACCACGAGCAAAAATATTCCCAAACAGCTATTTATAGCTTTGACCTTTTGATTTTCTGCATCGCTAATTCAAGAAACAGCCCGCCTGGCAAGCAGAGGTGAATGAAAGGAGAGTAATGCCAACTTGCTAAGGAGACCTCTTGCTAAAGGGATGCTGTCAGCCTGAAGTTTTAAATTTCTATCTAACAGATATTAGACAACTATTACTACAAAAAATTTGTGGAATTACAACATGATTCTTGGAAGGGTGTGCGGTGGGGTGTCTTTTCAGTTTTTGCTTTACATCCATGTCACCACTTGGTTCACAAATAATCAGTTTCAATGCTCTGCTGACAACAGCATTTCATGTAAT